CTCCAGAGAGGTGAGTGTTAAAAGTCCAGCTGGAGGTTACACAGACACATTGGGAATAAGTGATAATCGGATGTCTTGATCTTTGTTTTCAGAGATGCTGTGCAGCGGCGGTAAAGATTGTATTGATGAATGCAGGAAACGTTGAGTTTTATTTTTATACTAATGTTTATATTTCAAATCTCACATATTCTATAAAGAGACAACTTTAGGATTATTTATACAACTGACAGGACTGTACATAAAATATATATTTCTCTGTGTTTGGATTTCACGTCATGTAACAGACGCTTCTAATTTATGTTTTTATAATAAGTTTAAAATATATTCAGACAGCTTCTGTAACTGCTGCAGGTTGCACAGGATGATGATGATGATGCGAGGAGTATTTTCATGCTTCAGGGTGTTTCAGGTGTTTTAGTATAAATCTATTTTAGAAAATGATTTGTCAGATACTTTGTAGCTGTTAGTCAGGAGAGAAGAAAGACCCGATATTATGAGTTGTAAAGTAAAGAGACTTAAACATGTAAACCCAGGGTTAAAACACTGGAAGTTCCCTTTGTGGGCTCAGATATTCTCGCTTTTGAACAGTTGCGTCCTGAACGTAAATGTTCACATACTTGTCGATGTACAATGTGTGTTACTGGAGGATTCCTCTAGAGGGAGCGCCACATAAATCAGACGCCGTAAAACACTGAAATAGAGACGATCTGTTGGCAGATGTTTTAGCACACGTTGTTTGTTTGTTGCTAAGCAACAGCAATGACACATTGATGTGTATTAATATTTATTATTTTATACGGTGGCTGGGAAGGCCAAAACACTTTTACAAAGCTTGAGACTAATTTACATTTTGGCAAACACATTTACAAGATGCAGAACACTTTTAACTGTCGAACTTCTAGTCGTTTTGTCTTCTGAAATGTAAATTGTCTCAAATGTTTCAGAAGTGTTTCACACTTAATTTAGTTTTGCCCTTCCCAGCTACCGTAACTTTAAGTTTGAATTGTGTAAACATGAGCTGATGTGTTTGTGTGTGTGTGTGTAGGTGTGTGTGTGTATGTGTGTGTGTGTGTGTTTGTGTTTGTGTGTGTGTGTGTGTGTGTGTGTGTGTGTGTGTGTGTGTGTGTGTGTGTGTGTATGTGTGTGTGTGTGTGTGTGTGTGTGTGAGAGAGACATGAGATGTAGAAATATCTGATTATTCATCCATACTGCAGGCTGACCTGCTCAACATGACTGTAAACTCACTGTACAGGAATGTCTCCTGACTTAATAATCAATAATCTGTGTTCTCTTTCAATAATCAACCTTCAGGTTTATTTGTCTGTTCTCTGTCTTCATGTTCGGCTCTGTGTTTGGACTCGTGATGACGCATATTTGTGGGTGTTTGAATAAAACAGTTAATTATGTATTTTCAGATGTTCTGTTAGTCATTCATTATGGTTCCGCTGGGAGAGGCCCCGGCTATTCCAGACGCACGGCCCGCGCATGCGCAGAGCGGCGGGGCTCCAGCACATTGAGAGGCTGAACTCTCGGAAGTTTAGCTAAGTTGCAGAGATTTAGCCCGACAGGCTAGCAGCAGAAACGACGGTCCGAGCTGCAAAGTTGTTTTTTCAGGGTGGAAAAAGTCCCTTTGGACTGACGCCGTTATCACACAGTGAACCCCGGAGGACTACCGATGGATGTAAATCGTTTTTCTTGGTTTGAATCGCGCGAACAGGAGCGTTAGAGACGGTAGAAAGAAGTTGTGATTGTTTTTTTTTGGCGCTCTGGCGGCGCAGAGGAAAGATGGAGGCTCTGCGGGTGTAGCAGCGGGCTAACGCTAGCCGCAGTTTACGGACTCATCTGAGCTGCTTCACCGCGGGGTGGATGTCCGGAAGGTGGAGGCTTTAATCCATCACAGTGACGGTGTTCAGTAAGTATGGATCTCTGTAATATCACCCGATGTGTTAGAGCTCACAGACGGAGTGCGCTGTGGGCTCTAACTGAGAGTTAGCCTCGGAGCTAATTAGTTAGCTGAAATCAGTGTTAGCTCAGTGCTAACTAGCTGCCATTACACACAGAGAGGAGGAAAGTTAGAGTCCTCTGTGACTCACTCTGAGAAGAAGTTTATATCTAACTTTATTACTGACTCAGCAGTCTGTGCTAGTTAGGGCTGCTGAACCTTAGTTAGTGTTTGTTTTGTGCTGGTTAACTCTGAAACACAGCAACACTTTATCACATCTCAAACTGACTGATTGAAGGCTTGTTCACTTCTTTTCTGCTCATTAGGACGAGTTCAATTAAAGTCTGTAACAATAGAAAGTCTAAATAATGAACTGTCATAAACTCGTCAGTTTTCTGTCCTCTGATAGAAACAGTTGTTAAAGTGTTTGGTTGGTTATTTAAAGTGAATTCTAATGTTTAATATTTATGGTTAGGTTTTAATGTGTCTGAAGTTATTTTAAATGTACTTAAAAGGACAGTTTAAAGGTGCACTATGGAGGTTTGGTAGAAATGTGAAAGTTGGAGAAATGTACAGATAAAATGATCAGTGAGATGTTTTGGTGGGGGACCGTTTTTCCTTTGAGTAAAGTTTGTGTATTTAGTTCAGAAAATATGCAAATAATCTGTAAACTTCCACCAAATCTTCAAAGTGCTCCTTTTAATATGAAAGATAATTTATTGTGAGGTGTCAAATGGTAATACTTTTAATTTCTCAGGGGGTTACAGAGCGACGCAATCGGTTATTTTTAATGGTCCATAGTGTCCAAGGCCAGTTTTTTGGAGGTACTCTTTAAAGCATTGTTTCTTAACTGGGGGGTCTGGACCCAGAAGTGGGTCGCAGAGCATTTTCAGTGGTTGCTAAAGTGTGCCTGGAAAAATATTGTCAAAAAGTCTGTGAAGCGCTTTTCCAAAATGTTTGTTTGGTTTCTTCGTTCTCTCACGTGTTGCACCGTCTGAGGTCCATCTGCACTATTTCACATTGAAAAATCTGTCGCGACTTTTCATGAAGGAGCTGGGGTGCATCCTGAAGCTAGATCGGTTGGGAACCACTGCGTTGAGGTCTTGAGAACTCTTTTGGAGGTCCGATCAGTGACCATCTTGTCCTTATTATCTTTTCACTTAAACATTTGTACGTCTAAATCTACAGAATCGAAGAACGATTTCTCAAAGATATCGGCGGATATATCAGTATCTGACTTTTTCCCTCGCCAATATCGATGTTGGTCACATAAATTCTATATTGTATCGACGGCTGACAGTGACACATATTGTTCTCTCCTGACCTCAGATGTGCATTAATTACATTTTATAAACTCATGTAATAAATATATCAGTTAAACTATTTCTGTCACCTGTGAGACTAACAGTTAAGGAGTTTTACTGTTTGGTATCCTGACAGCTCTAATCCACTTTGAATAAATAAATCTTGTAATATCTGCGCATATCTGAGATAAAAGTAGCTGATCCCGATAGCTGTTGTTCTTTAAGTCCATGGACTAGGAGCTCTTAGTACCTCTAAAGTCAGATGGTTCGGTTCTCAGAGGTTCAGTTGCAGGATTATATTTTCCCCACAGAAGGTTGTCAAAGTTTCTGAAACTTTAATACTCTTTGACGTGTGTAATCTAAAACCATACAGTCTGTTATTTTTATGATTAATAGTGTCAAAAAGGTCTGAAGATTTTAAAGAACATCATCTATTTCAAGAGACTGTGTGGAGGAGAGGAATGAAGCTCTCTTACACACCGCTTTTTACTGCTTCATTTTTAATTGGCCACCTGAACACAGAGTTTTAAAGGTCACATATTCTCCTCCTCTTCAACCAGTGTAAATAAGTCTCAGAGCTCCTGAAAACATGTGTGAAGTTTCTTGTTATAAATCCACTCTGATCCTGTATTTAATCATGTCTATAAACTTCTCTATATCAGCACTGCTCAGAACAGACTGTTTCTGTGTCTGTACCTTTAATGTAATTGAGCTGTGTCTGACCACACCCCTCTATGTCCTTTTGTTTACGGTGAGAAGGCAGACTCAGAGGGTAGAACAAACACCTAGCTGTGGGAGTGTCACCCACTGGGGGAGGGGTTACTGCCCTTTGTGATGTCATGAAGGGAAAATCTCCAAATGGCCTGTTTGAACACACATTTTCTGAAAAGTAGAGTAGGCAGAAGACGGAGGATGGACTTTTGTCATCATTGGGGGTTTGTAGACGGACTAGGGACATATTAGTGTTAGAGGAACATGGTGAAATGGATTTTACAGAATATGTGGCCTTTAAGAGTCAAACAATTATGCATTGACTTGAGACTCAAACAGAACCTTAGAAATGTTGCATCTCCGACCTGTGGATTCAAGTGGATCACCCTGTTCTCTCCAAATCAGTCTTTGATTTGACTTTGAGAGGCAGAAACCTGGAGCGGAACCAGACTCATGAAAGAGACAAACAGAGCAACAACAATGACTAAGACAGAAAGCTACAGTAATAATGGTAAACGTATGTGTAGTACTATTAGTTTGTAAACAGGAGGAAGAAAATGTCTGACCTTTGTATGTGTGTGTGTGTGTGTGTGTGTGTGTGTGTGTGTGTGTGTGTGTGTGTGTGTGTGTGTGGTGTGTGTGTGTGTGTGTGTGTGTGTGTGTGTGTGTGTGTGTGTGTGTGTGTGTGTGTGTGTGTGTGTGTGTGTGTGTGTGTGTGTGTGTGTGTGTGTGTGTGTTGTGTGTGTGTGTGTGTGTGTGTGTGTGTGTGTGTGCGCGCGCCCGCGCAGAGCTGCTCTTCATGTTCACAGAATCTCTAAAGAAGCATGAGAGTCCGTCAGGCTCTGAGGATGGGAGCAGGGCTACTGGAGGCAGGATCTAGGTAAGACACACACACCTCACTCAGACGTGTGTCTATGAATATGTGTGCAGAGGTGACTCCAGCTGTGTGTGTGTGTTTCAGACATCAGATGGTGCTGTGAAGAAGCCATGGGTAGCTGTTTAAGCTGTCCAGAGAAAGAGTCAATCCCAGATAATCATCAGAGCAAGTTTAAGGTCTGTGTGTGTCCGTCCGTCCGTCCGTCCATGTGTGTAACCATGTGTGTAACCGTGTGTGTATGCCACCTGTGCAGGTGATCAACGTGGACGACGATGGGAACGAGTTGGGTTCAGGTGTGATGGAGCTGACCGACGCTGAGCTCGTCCTCCACACACATCGCCGCGACGATGTCAGGTGGCCTTACCTGTGCCTGCGTCGCTATGGATACGACTCAAACCTTTTCTCGTTTGAGAGCGGCCGCCGCTGCCAGACAGGACAAGGTACACACAAACATGTACACACACGGTTTATGATTGTGTTTTTCTCTCCTCATTTTGTTAAAGAAAACAAAAACTCTGGTTATTAAAGGTGAACTTTATTCTTAAATTGAGTGTGTGTCTGTCAGGTATTTTTGCCTTTAAGTGTCCTCGGGCTGAGGAGATCTTCAACATGCTGCAGGAGGTGATGCACAGTCACAGCATCAGTGTAGTGGAGGAGGCGGTGATGGAGCCAGGACACCAACTCGCACCTGCAGGTAAATACACACACACAACACACACACCTGCAGGTAAATACACACACACACACACACACACACACACACACACACACACACACACACACACACACACACACACGCACCTGCAGGTACACACACACACCTGCAGCTAAACACACACACACCTGCAGGAAAGTACACACCCAACACACACCTGCTAGTAGCAGCGCTGCGTCTGACTTGTGTAGCATGAACAGTAACGGTGATAACAGATCAGAGTAAACATAATATCATCACACTAACCTGACTGTGTGTGTGTGTGTGTAGTTGTGGGGTACTCTGTGCCCTCTCTTCCTAACGGGGTGAGCAGGATCCCGTCTGTGGGGGAGGCTCCATCTCATCCCTCCACCCGTCACCCGTCGGTGGCCAGCACCCGCCTCCCTTCTGTGGGGGAGGAGTCGACTCACCCCCTGCTGGTGACCGAGGATGCGGTAAGAGATCAACTTCCTGTTTGACTGTAAATACTGATGATGTCATGATGACACATTGACGATGTCTCCTCCTGCAGGTGCACACCTATGTGAACACCACGGGGCTCCTGGAGGAGCAGCCCAGTCCTCTGACTGTCACCACCCCCCTGGAGAGCCCCACCTCCCCAGTCTCAGTGTCCTCCAACCCCCCCGCCTCCCCCAAGGGTCCGCAGCGAACCGCCACCCCCACCTCCTCAGGTGGAGCCGCAGGTGCTGCTGGAGCCGCAGGGCGTGCGCTTCGTGTTGGGCCCCACCCCCGTACAGAGGCAGCTGATGGAGAAGGAGAAGAGGAAGCAGGAGACGCAGGGGGAGGAGCCTCAAGAAACTAACGGCCCTCCTGAAACCCCTGCCGAGCCGGAGCTCGCCCCCCCGCTCTCCAATGGCTCCTCCTCCTCCTCTTCAGTTCCATCCTCAGCTCCTCGTCGCCACCGCCCGCCCCCCCTCACCCCTGACCTGCAGAATGTCAACAACTCGGCGCAGCGCCGCACTGCCCTGCTGGACTATGAGAACTTGCCTGCGCTGCCACCCGTGTGGGAGGCCAGGAAGCCGAGTGGAGAGGAGGAGGAGCCTGTCTGTGGCGGTCTTAGGACGCCGTCGTTAAATGGCTACAACCACCATGGCGTTCTGCACCACTCTTACTCCCACCCGCTGTCCGCCACGCTCGAGGCCTCGCACAACTACGTCAATACGGAGAACGTGACAGCACCTCTCAGTGCCCATCGGCCTGACACTGCCCGCCGCCGCACTGAAGGCCCTACCATTTTTAACTTTGACTTTCGGCGGCCGCCGCTGCCTGGACACCCCGAGCCGCCCAAAACTCTGAACTACATCGAGGTAGAGATGGAGCAGGGCGGCGGGAACAAGGGAGCCTCGGACGGAAGTAACCCCCACACGCCACGCACCCCCACCTCCCCGCTTCCCCCAACCACGCCCACCCGCCGCACCGAGCTGTACGCCCTCATCGACATTGAACGCACTGCCGCCATGTCCAACCTGCAGAGGGCACGGCCGCGTGATGATGGCACGTCACGCAAGACTCGACACAACAGCACGGAGCTGCCCACCAAAAGCACTGCGTGACCCCGCCCCTAGCACGCCACTTCCTGTTACCTCCTGGAGGGCGCCTGACGGAGCGTGTTTATATTTAGACTTCCTGTGAGCGCACCTGTGCAGGTACGCTCTCAGACGGTACTTATAGCAGATTATTGGACGCTGGTAATGTGACAGCGGTGATGATGTCACAGACTTCTCTTCCTTATATGGTCAGATCAGTATTACTGAAGCATTCCATTTATTCTATGTTCACTTCCTGCTGCTGTACTGAGCGCGCTCAGTGTGTACAGTAGATCGCCACAATAAAAGTTTCTCTTTTTATTTCTACTCTGTGCACACACCTGTCCTGTCCACGATGACATCACTGCTCAGGGGCAGGAGCCACGCTCTGCACATGTGCAGATTGCAGCTACTTCCTGTCTTTAGATATAAATAAAAAATAATGAATGAATAATTAATGATTGAATCAAAACAATCTGGAGGGAGAGTCAGATTTATTTTATTCATGCAGGAAAATTAAAAACATTTGACTTTATTAACGGCTCAATAAACAGGAAGGAGCTGCGTCTCTTCCTGTTTGCTGATGAAAACCAAAGATGACCTGATTGGCTGGGTTCAGAGGTAAAGGTCAGTGTTAAATATAAACGGGTATAACGGCGAGGCTCTGGGTTACATGGGGGAGTGCTGACTCAGCATTCACAGAGTGGTTTAAAGCTTTCAGTCACGTGACCAGCACTGAGGGCTCGGGGTCAAAAAGAGGTTAGGAAAGTGGCGCCCACCATCGCAAACACTAGCTGCAGCACAGGCTTTAAATGTAACATCTCTAGACAACCTTTACATCACCTGACAACCAGAATAAAACGGATATGACAAACAAGAGTTTTGTGACCCTTGTACATCACACGGCACACTTTCAACCAAGTCCTTTCTGGTGTTACGGTTTAAAGAGTGACCATGTTATATGGTGATGTTCAGCCAAATGGGTCTGGGTTTAGCTTTTCATTAAAGACTTATCTAATAAGTGTTTTTGACATGATGATACAAAGAGCCGTCTGTTAGGACACTTTCAGTCACGTTTGTCTGAAGTCGCCAGGTAATACTGTCACACTTTTAACCGGAACACAACACCATGCTGACATTCAGAGGAGACACCGCTGCAAGGTGAAGTCTATCAGCACACTGTACGGGGGGCGAATGTTTTGATTTAATGAATGATAAGAGTTATTCACAATAAGGCGTGGAGCTGACCTGATTGACAGGCGGGCGCGGTGTAACGGTTTGTCAGGAGGTTTAAAACCCGCCTCAGCTCCAACTTTCAGCCTGTCGATGGGTTGACTGAAAGTTAGGCTGACACAGCGTTTCCAGCATGGAGGCTGCCATTGATGGGACTCCAACGCCCCCCTGCAGTAACAGACAGGTGACGTCAGTCTGCGGTGGCGTGCAGCATTAGAGCCTTTGTGTCTGCCAGGTGGGCGATCCCATAAGCGTGTGATGTCACGTGATACTTTGTTAGACTCCACACAGTGAAACGTTCAGCGATGCATCATGTTAACATTGGTGTCAGCAGATTGATATATAATGTGACGTGTAGTGAAGTGTGGGGGTTAATGCTGACAGGAAGTCAGCTCTCGGCTGATTCAGAGGTTTTTATTGGTCAGAGGAAGTCACCTGTGGGACAAACTGGTTTCCATTCCACTTTATTAGAAACATCCCTTCACAACACCAGAATATAAAACTCCTGCAAAGTGACATATCAACACCCGTTTATTACCACGGCAACACAAACAGAAGTCCTGGACACCCGAAGGTGTGAACTTAATGACCAACCTGCACATGATGATGATTAACCTCTAATGATCCTGGCTCTGTGTGTGTGTGCAGCTGTGCGTGTAGTTGTGCGTGTGAACCTTGAGAGAGTCTTGGTCCAGTGTGTCACCAGCTCAGGTCATTCCAGCGTGGGCAGCAGTTACACCTTAAATGTGACATCCTCCATACAGTCTGGTTGTCATGGTGATGATCTTATAAACAATGTGATAACTTGGAGGAGAAGAGGGAGCCCAGATCATTTCATCCCTCCAATCAAAGAGGACTGTTAAGTGACCTGTTGTAGTTTCAGATCTCACCACTAGATGTCCCTGTTATTGTTCACCAGCTGTGAAGGCTGTCGGCTTTAGTTCCCCCTCATGACGCTTTGACAGACCCTACAAACATCACAGTTTGTGTTTGTGAATGAGTAAACAGAAGTTCTCCAGGTAGATAAATCTTGTCTCTTGAAATCAGGATCTGATGTTTACATGAAGAAACACAGAAACTTGAAAACCCGATCAAAACCAGGAGATTCATGTCAACATACGAGAAGAAACACGGGGACCCTGCAGGAAGAGAAATGCTGCTCTCTCATTGGTCACATCCAGTTCATACCTCATTTCTTATGATGTTTAGGTTAGTTTGGACGTCACGCTCTGCTAGTTGAGATGAACCTTACATCTCCGTGGTAACAAATAATGACACGACTTCAGTTCCAGACTGACATCGTTTACACGTCCAGTTTAGACACTGCGTCTGACGCAGGAAACCTTCCTGCAGTTTAGCGTTCAGTACTGCAGGATAGTGAGCAGGTTGTAGTGATGGTGTCCCTGATGACCTCGGCGGTGCAGTACGTGTCCCTCGTACGGCTCCGTGTCCGGTTGTCTCAGACTCATCACAGTTGGATTGGCGTCGGCGTTCCACTCGGGCAGGAAACAGTCCCCCAGCTGTTCACACATGTTGTGCAGGACGCAGCACGCAGCCACTACGCGCGGCATCATGGACACGTCGATGTCGGTCTTCTTCAGCAGACACCTCCAACGCCCTTTCAGACGCATGAAGGCGGTGTCGACCACGGAGCGGGCGGAGCTGAGGGTGTAGGTGAAGCGGCGCTGTTCAGGAGACAGCTGATGGTGTTGGCTGTATCCTTTCATCAACCACGGCTTCAGAGGGAACGACTCGTCTCCGATCAGATGGACGGGGATCTCCACGCCGTCTGACATGATGGATTTCTGAAAGAGAGACGACACATTAAACAGACTGTAACGTCTGCAGCAGGTAAACAGACTGTAACGTCTGCAGCAGGTAAACAGACTGTAACGTCTGCAGCAGGTAAACAGACTGTAACGTCTGCAGCAGGTAAACAGGCTGTAACGCCTGCAGCAGGTAAACAGGCTGTAACGTCTGCAGCAGGTAAACAGGCTGTAACGTCTGCAGCAGGTAAACAGACTGTAACGTCTGCAGCAGGTAAACAGACTGTAACGTCTGCAGCAGGTAAACAGACTGTAACATCTACAGCAGGTAAACAGGCTGTAACGTCTGCAGCAGGTAAACAGACTGTAACGTCTGCAGCAGGTAAACAGACTGTAACGTCTGCAGCAGGTAAACAGGCTGTAACATCTACAGCAGGTAAACAGACTGCAAAGACACTACAAAGCCCCCACCCCTGGACTCTCACCTCTCTGGGGAACAGGTACCCGTCAGGCCGGTCCTCTGCTTTCAGGAACAGGTCTGAGCTGGACAGAACCGAGGCCGTGCTGGTGCTGCCGGGCCAGCCGGCGTAAACGTCTGTGAACCTGCGGAGGACAGAATATAGAAGTTCAGAAGATAGTCTTCACGTAGATCCTTCTGTCGTTCAATATGGCATCTTTTTATGTTCGACTGAATTGTTGCCGATGAATGTGTACATTAAAACAGCGTGCAGGACTTGATGTCGTCTCTCCTGACCTGTCTGATGATATAAATGTCAGGGTGATACTAGAATTTTCCACGCCTCTAGAGTCCTGCTCACCGGGCGTCGTGGTCGACCACCGCCTGCAGGATGACCGAGTGCCAGCCGTTCTGGTTGTAGTAGTCGTCGGGTTGTCCCTCGGGGCGGAGATGGGGATGTGAGTCCCGCCGATGATCCCGGCACACTGCGGGTAGCAGCGGTCTTTAAAGGCCCGGATGGTTTCGTCCAGCTCTCACTGAGGGCAGCGACACGTAACGCTCATACATGCGGTCCAGTATGGCGGCGGTGACCTGCCGGACTACGATACACACGGTGGCCACGCCCACACCTGCAGTAAGATAATCAACATGTGAGAAAAAAGAACCCCTCTCTGGGATTTAGATCAAACTGACTCCTCATTAGTGAGAAAGGTTAATAAAGATCTCCCGTGCAGAACGACCTTCAGATATTTACAATCCCCACATTACGGGTCGCCATCTTCATGTTCCAGACGTAAAGTCATGTTTTTAATATCAAATACAGAAAAAAGAGTAAGCAGACGCCTGCACGCCATCTCTTGTTATTAAATTCACTGGCCACAGAAACGCTGAAAAGGTGGACAATCGTTTTAAATAATCGGATCCCGAATACGTACCGAACATTTGGGCGATGGTTCGGTACTCCCCGGATCGGGAGAACCACCACAGGGCGATGGCCAGCCTCCGGTCCGGTTCGATGGGCGCGCGGAAATTCGTCCTGCGTCGTTTGATGGCGGGACCGACCTCTTCGAGCAGGAAGTCAAACGTCGCTCTCGAGATCCGAAACTGCGCCTTCCATTCCTCCTCGTCGAAGTGCTGCGCCCCGGCCCACAGGTTCTGCGCCGGGCTCCGGTTAATGACCCACACGGGTCTCCTGGTGACCGTGATGAGGCTAAGGATCCCGGCCATGGAGGAGAGCAGGAACGCCCTCCTCCTCCGCAGGTACTGTCTCCTCCGCCGGTCTCTCTCCACCATCTCGCGGAGCCTCCTCCGCCTCAGCAGGGCCGTCTGGAGCCGGTACAGCTCGGCCACCTGAGCCCCGAGGTCCGGAGGAACATCCAGGGAGAGCAAGGAGCTCAGCAGAGCCGCTATGAGGGACCCACTGTCCGCCATGTTAAACTGTTTGCACACAAGCGGGACGGCGCGGGATTATGACGTCACGTCAAGCTGATGAAAACAAACAGTTCTCTGAAGAATGTAAACAGTCATTTTGAGCTTCTTGGGAGGAAAGTTTTTTTTGTCCTCTTGAGTTTAAATGTGACTGTCAGAAGAAAATATTTTCTTATAAATTTAATTTTATTTATAAAGTTCGACATTCACAATAAAGCTCTTATCTTTCAGAAAGACAGATTTATACATTAAAACAATTACTTCATCCAAAAACTCAAAAGCTTTCTAAACTAAACTTCTGCTCCACAAGTTCAACGTTTAAAAAAAAAAACTTTGTCGTAAATGTAATCCAAACTAAAACGTGCTTTCAGTTCTAAAGTCTGAATGTTGTAACAACAATAAACAGCGTGGATGGTAGGAAGAAGTGTGAATATCTCTGTTAGGAGTTATACTTTAACTAAAGATGTACAATATGTGAATGAATCAAAAGCATCTTAACATCAACTAAACATCTTGTTTAAGAAGAATAAGTCAGCAAGTCGGGCTCCTCATTCTTTGCAGAGTTTCTGAAAAGTCACAATTCAGTATGGAGACTTTTCAGTAGACAGAACCCTCGTGGTCGTTCTGAACTCTCGCGGTCGTTCAGTAGACTGAACCCTCATGGTCGTTCAGTAGACTGAACCCTCGTGGTTGTTCTGAACCCTCGTGGTCGTTCTGAACCCTCGTGGTCATTCAGTAGACTGAACCCTTGTGGTCATTCTGAACCCTCGTGGTCATTCAGTAGACTGAACCCTTGTGGTCTTACAGTAGACTGAACCCTTGTGGTTTTACAGTAGACTGAACCCTCGTGGTCATTCTGAACCCTCGTGGTCATTCAGTAGACTGAACCCTCGTGGTCATTCTGAACCCTCGTGGTCATTCAGTAGACTGAACCCTTGTGGTCTTACAGTAGACTGAACCCTTGTGGTTTTACAGTAGACTGAACCCTCGTGGTCATTCTGAACCCTTGTGGTCTTACAGTAGACTGAACCCTCGTGGTCATTCTGAACCCTCATGGTCTTACAGTAGACTGAACCCTCGTGGTCATTCAGTAGACTGAACCCTTGTGGTCTTACAGTAGACTGAACCCTCGTGGTCTTACAGTAGACTGAACCCTCGTGGTCTTACAGTAGACTGAACCCTCGTGGTCATTCAGTAGACTGAACCCTCGTGGTCTTACAGTAGACTGAACCCTCATGGTCTTACAGTAGACTGAACCCTCGTGGTCATTCAGTAGACTGAACCCTCGTGGTCTTACAGTAGACTGAACCCTTGTGGTCTTACAGTAGACTGAACCCTCGTGGTCTTACAGTAGACTGAACCCTTGTGGTCATTCAGTAGACTGAACCCTTGTGGTCATTCAGTAGACTGAACCCTTGTGGTCTTACAGTAGACTGAACCCTCATGGTCTTACAGTAGACTGAACCCTCGTGGTCATTCAGTAGACTGAACCCTCATGGTCATTCTGTAGACTGAACCCTCGTGGTCTTACAGTAGACTGAACCCTTGTGGTCATTCAGTAGACTGAACCCTCATGGTCATTCTGTAGACTGAACCCTTGTGGTCATTCTGAACCCTCGTAGTCGTTCAGTAGACTGAACCTCGTGGTTGTTTAGTAGACTGAAGGTGAGTGAGAGTTTCTGGGGGAGGGGCCTAGTTTGAATGATGTGTTTACATTTCTAATGACTCCGACTTTAAAGTAAACATGAATATATTATAAATATACAAACATAATTAAGTCTAAGAGTATTATTATTTTTTTAATAAAAAGTGACGAACAGTATTCACTTATTTCAGATCTCATTTAAGATGTGAAACGAAATGAGCTACCTCAGTCTTCTTTCCTTTGAGCTTCCTGAGCTCTCTCTTCTCCGACTGCTTCGGTGTCTCACAGAGAAGGCGACAGAGAGGATTCACCTGCAGGGTGACACCTGTGTCTTTAAGTCGTACAGCTTCAGGGATCCAGCAGGGGGAGGTGTTGACAGCTCTGATCGGGGTTGACCTGCAGGAGTCTGACATCCTAAACACACTGAGCAGGCTGGAGCTCCCAGCATGCATCTGTGTGCCTCAAGTGGAGCGTTAAGGCCGGCCAGCTGCTATGGGGAGGCTCGGCCTGTAGGGGGCCCTCTTCCTCCGGGCTGCTGCAGCTCACAACACAGAGGCTCCAAACTACAGCTGTTCACAAACAAGAAGGGATGTCACAATGCATTGACTGTAGTAAGAGTTAAACAATATCACTCCCTGTTTCATTACTATGGCAACAAATATAAAAGTCCTAGACACCACATAAAGTCTCCCTGCAGCCATGAAAATGCCCCCACGTTACACAGAGGACCTGCTCATCCCTCAAACATCTACAAGAACTCCATCTCCAACCCCCCAGGACTAAGTTATACACAATGGGGGGATCAGGCACTCCATTCTGCTGCTCCACGGCTGTGGAACGCCCTCCCAGACCACCTGAGGGCGTCACACCTGTTGAGAGTTTTACACAGTGCTTCCTGCACTCACTTGTTTTTTATAACTCATGTTTTTAATGCTTCTGCTGCTCTTCTCTTTTAGACTCATGTCTTTCTTGTGTTCTTCAGTCATGTTCTTTTGTTTGTTCTTTTTACAGTCTGTTTACCTGCTGCAGACGTTACAGTCTGTTTACCTGCTGCAGACGTTACAGTCTGTTTACCTGCTGCAGACGTTACAGTCTGTTTACCTGCTGCAGACGTTACAGTCTGTTTACCTGCTGCAGACGTTACAGTCTGTTTACCTGTCTACAGTAAAAACAGTCATTAACCTTACATCCTGTAGTTGTTTGTTGGAGGTTGTTTTCCTCTGATCTTAAAGGTTAGCGTGGCTGCGCTGACAGGAGCAGCTTCCTGCGGCGTGATATTCAACATGAAGGGTCACTGGAGGAATGGCACCATCTGTCTCACAGCTTCAGCCAAACGTTGAGCGGCCTGCGGGAGGAGAGTCAGTCCGCGTACATGTGTTCACACCTCCACGCCGAC